TTGTGCTATGCTATGCTATGTATTTTGTTATGATATATTAAGTATTTATTTTGTTATGCCACTTTATGTTATGTTGAATAACTGAAATAATAAATTTAAATGATATAATAAAATAGCGAAACATAATCAAAGAAATGGGTTGAAACATACTCAGGAAAGTGGAAAGTTTAGGGTTTGATTGATGAAGAAAGGGTCTACTGAATTAAAGGTCAAATGAGGTCAAAGCAACAATAAATTCATGAATAAGAACTAATGATATAATGAATTGGAAGAATACTATGATACCAACTAGGAATATGTATAGGGGGGCAGGGGGGCTTGACTGGGAGGAGAGGGGAGGTGAAATTAAGAAGGAAGTTTTGTCATGTTACTATCAGATCCACAAACAATATAAATTGAACATGGAATAATTCAATTATGAATATACTTTGATTGTATCCAAATCTTTTATATTATATAATGTCTAAATGAGAAGATTTTTGATGGGAGGAGAGAGGACTACAGTGGAGGAGAAAATAAATAATAAAAAAAGAAGCAAATAAAACAATAACAAATAATAATCTATCAACCAGACTAACATAAACTCTTGTTCCTCAAATCCTAGTTATTTATCTTTTTTTTTCAAAATTGCAACTGAGATGATGAAATTTTATGGCAACATCGTTATATTGCTTATTTATATAAATTTCTGTCAACTGAACCAAATAATAAAATTAAAAATACAAAATCAGCATGACACTGAAATTTTCTTTTCATGAACTTTGGGAACAAGACATTTCATGAGATCTGGCCTAAAAACCAGCATTAATAATAATTAACGAAATAAATATTCAACAATGATAATAAATAATAATAGATAATAAATAATAATAGAAATAACAAAAATGAAAACACATTAATTAAGATATTTGTTATTTCATATATCTCGTAATGAGACGTTACGGCAATAAAGTTGAAATTAACAAACACACAACATGCAAGAACACCACTCACCTTGCGATGACCATGTGACATCTTTATCACCGAACTTCTTAACTGCTATCTCTACCGTTCTATTTTTCGTATATTTTTTATAGTAATCAATGAAGGAAAATGGTAGCGATACGTTCAATGGATTATTTTTCCAGGGACTAGCGTTACGCTTACGGGCCTCAAAGGCTATCATTAAATCTACCCAACCAGCTGGTCGCTTCATCTGAAATGAATCAACAAAACATCAGAGATTGCACTTATATTGATGGTTTCTTGTCACGTCTTTATCGCCTTATGAATATGCATGAATGATTCCAACAAATGAATCAGTTATCAAAAACTTATTTTAATTTTTGTGTCACTGACATAATTTGTCTACATTCCAGTATTTATCTTCCCTGTCAGTGATTCATGATGAAATGATAAGCCTACAACAAATGCATATGTGATTGACAGATTTGTTATTGTCCGTGTTTGTTCAATTTCTCATGCCGAGAAGCGTTCTATGGTTACACAAGTTCTATATTTATCAGTTGTTAAGCAAGATCTTATGATTGTTACCAACAATATTATTCAGCCATTTTATCATAATTTCCAACATCAAAATTAGTCATTTTTCACTTAATTTAACAGCAGCAATGGCTAGAAGTAACGTAGAATGATAACAAACACTTCAGCCCATGGATTGCAAGTCCTGTCATCACGTCCACAGTCTCTCAGGTGACACAACAACCATGGTGCTTTAACTTTTAGAACATCAGAATATTTCCCATCCCAATTTTTTGGAGCCACATTTTGTATGTATTTTTCTAAAATTAATTTTGGCCAAATAGACATAATTTTCTATCGCTTAAAAATATGTATCATAATTTTTGGAAAAAAATATTATGTGGGTTTATTAATTTTGCAAATGGCGACAAAATTTGACTCTGGCGCTCAAATAGTTACGAATTTTTACCATCGTAGAAATAAACAATCTGATGAATTTTGTTTTCAACGCAAATCTAATTAGAGCCATGCACCTTCAGATTTGATAATTGTCCTTACTAACAATATTCTAACTGTCACCAGTGAAAATTGTGTAATTACCTTAAATTCGTCAAGAAATTCTTTGGTGAATATATCATCTAATAAATCTTCAAAAGCTTTGTCTATACTGACGGAGCCATACTCGCCACCGGCGGCTTTATGTAGCTCTTTTAGTGTTCCCAAATGCTCTTCCAGTTCATGTACGGTAATATCGACGGTGCCACCGCCGCAATCTACTACCATGTACTTAGTTCCTACAAATATATAAAATTGTGTGAAATAATGGTCACTGAAATAAGCATGGACCTTAACAATTTGTTTGGCTGATGATAAGTATGTAAATTACGGAAAGCAATTCTAACCAATTGGATGACCCGATAGATCCAAAGGAACATCAGGTGATCTCTTATAGAGTGATGTAGTTGAACACAACAATGACAGAAATTGTGTCAATAAGAATGGTAAAATATCAAGCATTGAGGCTGTTAACCTTTTCACCACCAGTCTCCTTTTTTCATCACAAAATAGTCCTGTTTATAGTCTGCACTTTCCTTCAGAACATTTGGACAAAAATAGCCAATTTATTTTTGGTAAATTGACTTAAATTTTTTCTGTTGGTTCCAAAATTAGGGTTCATTTCCAGAAATATTGAAGAATATAAGAACAAGCAGCCTCTCGGCTGAGATAGCTCCACTGTTAGCAATGCACATTTCAATTAAAAAACAGAAGATATCATTAGAAAATGAACAAAATGTATAGTATCAAAACAATCAGACTTGCGGTTTTCAACAAGAAGTGGAAAATATCACTTTTTACTAAAAATGACAAAAATATTCATCAAAATTAGAGAATTGAAGATATCATGATGAAATGAACAAATCTAGGAAAGGTCTACCTAAGGTACATATACACCAAGTATCAAAGCATTCAGGCTTGTAGTTTTCAAGAAGAAGTCAAAAAAGTAAAACATGTGACACAGACGACGACGACGGACCAGCACTCATATGATAAGCTCCGCTCGACAAAGTCGACAGCGGAGCTAATAAAAATAATATTTGTCTTTGCTAATAAAACAGAAGGTCGTTGGATGTCATTAACCTTTTGAGTGCTGGAATTTTCCCCTCCAAATTTTTTATGTAATACTTTCCAAATTTTAGTGTATTTTTTAAAAATTTGTTTGTTAATTATGAACGAAATCAACATAATACTCATAATCACCTGTC